ATTAACTAACCCCGAATACTTACACTTACTAACCATATCTAATAACACTAACTAACCTTAGCTGCAACTATAAACATAAACATTTGAGCCAAAAACAAGATGACCCCAACCCTAAGGCTCCACCATAGCCATCACCCCCACCCCCTTCTGTATAAACTTTGCCATCTATGCGAACCGCGTTGTCAATACAGAAGATAGCCAGAAACAGGAAAGTGCTGCATTGCATGATATGTATCCAATGAATTCCTTGAATTCCTTGTCCTCACTACTTAACCCCTTAAGACACATGACATGTGTGACATGTCATGATTCCGTTTTATTCTAGAAGTTTGGTCCTTAAGGGGTTAAACCACCTTCTCCTAAACCCGAACTAACCACAATATAGCATAAAAACATATGTCAGAATAGCAATTCTTGTATATATTGATTTTCAGACAAACTTAAAAAAATGAAGTCATGTAAATTTAGAGAATTTATATATTTTTTCTTTATTCATTTATTCTTTATAGAATTCTTGTGAAATTAAAAGCTTTAGACAGTATATACTGACCTTTATCTTGTAATATTTTAGAGTTTAAAATGTTAGTACGAAAGCAAAAATGCCATTTTCTCTCATACAGTAGGTGTAACAAAAGCTTACTGAACATTGAAACAGAAGGTAAAAAGAATGTTTGCATATGTGCATAATGTCCAGCAAATACAAATAAGTTATATATTTCTAAAATAGGTTTTTAAGAAGTGCTATCACATGTTTCTTTTAATGGTAATTTAATGCTAACAGTGAAATGAGAGACCTCCTCCCCTGAACTGTAAGGAATGATATGACCCACTGAAACTTTTATTTTTTTTACTGTTGGGAAGGAAAGGGGTGCTGCCATTTTCATAAGGTTTGCAGACATTAAATTTATGATGGGTCCCTGGCAGATAAATTTGTTCCTCTGAAGGCTGGTTAACATCCTGGAGTATAAATGAGGGTGAGGTTATGGACTAAATTTAACAAGGTAAATTAAAATAAAACTGGTTATATATGAATTTGGAAGAGAGTAAAGAAGTGAATTGGGAGAAATTGCAATTTGTACCATGATACAGCTCCTCAGAGAACCAAATTGTTGTTTTTAAAGAAAGCACTCCAAACTGGATA